TGGGTGGGGGTATAAAAAAAATCAAGATGGCAGCCATCACCATGCCATGGAAGCATCACATGTAAAAAAGAGGTGAAGCTTCTATTGCATGGTGGTGCTTGCCATCTTGGCTTGTTTGATCCCTGCAGGACTCTGCCTATCTTTTGCCCATTTCATATTTAATGAAATCCTTTCTTTCCTTCCATTCTTTTCCAGCATATCCTTCAGCCATGGCAACAAAACCATCCAAACAAGGTAATTAGGATCTTTTACCCCAAGATATTTTAGCTTCAGATTTCAAAACCCCCATTTCCTCTGCATTGAACTAAATAAATGTAGGATTGTTATTGTATCAGTTCCTACAGAAAATGCTGTAAACTGAAACAGAATTAGCATAGTCTATCCAAAGCACATATACAGGTGCACATAGCCTGTGGAAATGGGTAGGGTGCAAATTTCATCATTAAATTTATGCATTTGCATTATTTATAATTTTCAGAGCTTCCTTATTGGACCATCATCCTCATATGCTTCTCCGTCTTACTGAGTTCTATCTTTTTATTTCTTCTATGTGTCATGGTATGTATGAACTATACTTCAAAGTAGAGGGCTAATTATGAGTCTCTAACATAAGGAATCCTCAGCATTCATCCAATAAATACCTGAAGAGTGTGTATGTTTTCTCAGAAGAATTTTAATAATAGCGGATGGGAATGTGATGAAGCAGTTTCCTTCAAGCCATTTTCATATTGAGACCTCCTAGATGTTGATGGAGGCAATTCTGGGAATGAAGGGCCCTAAAAGCAGTTAATGGAGCCAATGGAAAGGGCCTTCTGCTTCGTTTCTCCCTCTGACAAAGTCAGATGGAACTGAGACTATTGGCTCCTGTAGAAATGTCCATCATGAGAGAGAAAATGGACAAAAGAAGGAAGGCACTTCACTTGTATGTGCATAAAATATATTTATTTCTGTCTTTAATCAGACTGCTGTCTGGGTGAAGAAGAGAGCAGGCAAGTATCAGATCCAAAGGAACATGTTTGGCCTTTATTTCCCACACATGGACATGCAAAAATCATAGTGATGTGGACTTTGGAAACTTGACTTCTTCCCTGCAAGAAGATCCTTTTTGCAGAGTTCCATTTTGCACATATTGTGCAGAAACATATGTTTACTATAGCTGGAATGAATTTCTTGATGAAGAAGAGATACTACATATTCTGTGGAAGAATGCCAGATTTAGAGAGTGATGGGGTGCCCTGTCATATTTATTTATTATGTGTTGTGAAACTTGGAATATCTTTTTAAATATCTATAAAAACTGTAGAGTAGATTATTTAAGTTCAAAAAAGAGAGATTCTGCCTGGAGCATGGATCAGTATTAAACAAGTTGCATCCTTTTGAGAATGCAAAGCATCAGTGAACTCTATTGCACATTAAAAATGTAAAAAAAAGAAAATATATATTCTTTTGTTCAATCAGTAAACATTTCACTTGTTTTTGTTTTTGAAGCAGGAAATTTTTTCTTCAAAGACAATTAAGTTGTTGAAATGGAAGACTTACAGTATTTTTATTTGAGCTGCAATTATATTATATTGTACTGCACTGTACTGTAGTATCTGTTTTCAAAATAATGTATCTTGGGTAGAGATGATTTTCAATCCTTTTTTTAAATATTTCAAATGTTCCTGATTTCTTACAAATCAATAAACATGAGCAAGAAAATAAAAATGAAACCTAAACTTCTACCAAGAATCTAAAATGACTTCTTAAAAAAGAAATTCACAGTATATATGACTATGAACTCAAGTCTTAGAATATGCAAAAAAATGTAAGTATGAAGAAATCATCTTTAGTCAGAAGTGGCATAATTCTTTCTGCATTAATTTTGCGATTGTACAGTATATAGCAGCTAAAATTTAGTTGCCACCATCCCAAAATGATAAAGTATTTAAACCGAACCTACCTTTCCTCTTTTTAGTTCTTTTTCTAGCGGCAAAGTACCTTAGATGTGTAGGGATACAATTACAGTATTTTCTGCCTCTCATTCATTCACAGTACTAGCGAATTATAAACAATTAAACTTTACTTAACAATTTTGTATTAGCCGTTAGTAGTGAATATGTTAAATCTGTTTAAAAGTCCAACTTACTGTGCTTCTTTACACAGTGATCATTCACTCTTTCACCAAAGGGTCTCTTTTTTATCTTTTATATACAGGTAAATAATAGTTTTACTTACTCAGCTAGATAAATTTCAGTTTAGTAGACCAGATGTAAAGGGGAAAAAATCTGCCCATATGTTATATGCTTCAGTACAATTATAAAATTCCCTTCATGATTTTGTATATCTATAAAATTGCAAAATATGCACGCATAAAATCTCATTTCCATTTTAAATATTTGGAACATAACAGCTGAGTCATACAACATGCAAAGATAAAGACTGGATTCCCTTATTTTAGCCTAGTAAACCATTTGCTTTCTCAAGAAATGATACTTCTTGGGCAGAGGTTGGGCTAGATGACCTACAAGGTCTCTTCCAACTCTGTTATTCTAATTCTAATACCATGAAAACTTTGTGGGTATGTGAAAAAAGTGAATATGGGGGTTCCTGTCCTCATGCTTACTTTATTGAACTTTAGTTGGTCAAGTGTGATCCGACACAAGGAATTTACCTCTGGTATAAAAGCCCTCAGTGCACATGGCAAAGCAACAGAATAATAATAATCAAAATAATAATACCAACAAAAGAGGGGGGTATAGAAGATAATAAGAAGGCTAAATGATAATAGGGCTTCTGGTTTCATCACACAGCCGCCATGGATGGCTGGGAGATCTGTTCTGTCTCCCCCATTCAGTTTCACATCACTGGGGGGTCCTGAAAAGGGCCAAAAATTGCCCTGAAGAGGTGACCAGCAAGGCTTGCTGGATCGCAGGAGAGCAGCAACTCTCCTGTTAGAGCTAACAATTCCTCCAAAGCAGCAGATGAAAGGACCGGCCATATAAATATGGCTCGTCCCTAGGCTGTTAACAGCCGAAGTCACATTAACATCTGGCAACTTCAAAGCAGTGTGGAAAGAATTGGGTGAGATCTGTCTCTCTTACATCCTAATTACTTAATTACCTGCATAAGCTGCTAAAGTACTTTGGTGAGGGAAGGGGGATTTTAGCCCTCCCTCCAGAAACAGCAGCTATCAACCACTCGGGAGTTTAAAACATTGGAAAAATACTGGGATCCTAATTGAAATTCTATTTTCTAAAACTAGTGGATTATAAGACTTGTAACTTTTTACTTTCTATTTTTTCTTCTTCTCTGATTTTTACTCTAACTATTATTGAAGATTTGGGTTCTTTTTCTCCCCCTTAAAATAGAGGGGGAAAAGAAAACTGAAAAGATCTAACTAACTCTGAGATGACATTTGCTGGCTAAATTTGAGGCTGTAACCTGCTATTCTTTAAGAGAGACTCATTGAAAGCCTTGAAAATAGATAAGATATAAAGCAACCTTGAAGCACCATCTGCAAGAAACTCAGCTCAGCTCTTTACTTGGTGGACTTTCTGATTGTAAGTTTTTTTGTTTAGTTTAATACACTACAATGGAAGAAGAACAGGAATGGATTTCTCCCACAGAGGAAGTACAGGAACAAATTCTTTATATGTTAAAAGCAATTATCCAAACTCTCTATATGCAAGCTCAAACTATGACTTCAACTAAAGAATCATCTATGCAGAATTCTATAGAGAAAGGGAAACAACCAAATGCTATGACAGAAGACTTAGATACTCAACAAATACAAACAGTGGAAAACACAAAAAGGAAACTGATAATAGAGAACAAGAAAAGGACTTTTCTTATAAACCAGAAGGAATTTGAAGATAAAAAAGAAAAACAGATGAAAGAGAAGATAAATACTTTGGGACAACTGCATCGAACTGGAAAAACAAAGAGATGACCTGTTAAATCAGCTAGCCCGCTTAAGAAAATAGCAACTGAACGCCCTTATCAGTGTCAAACAATAGTCACAACAATACAAGGAGATCTTTTTGATGATTTAAAAGCAAAGATATGAAAGATGATTTGGCAGAGGAAAAAAGTTAGAATAAGACTGAAAGGGATTGGGGTTTTGATCTAAACATGAGATCTAAAATAGAATATATCTAAATGGATAGAATATGTATTTTGAACATAAGATATTGTAATGATTTGAGATAAAAAAATTGGTTTTATAAAATCTAGAAATATAAATATCGAAATAAGAATGTTATATTGTCTTATTAGTTTGTTAAGATATATGATAGAATTTATATATAAGGTTTGTATTTTAAATATTAGATTCTATGAGGAATTGTGATAAAGGAATTGTGCTTAATTAAAATTTGGAAAAAAAATATTAAACGTTAAATTAAAATATTAAGGGAAAATTAATCACCAGGTCACTGATTTGCTAAAAGTTTGAATGCTTACAGATAACTAAGACTTGAATTTAAGATATTGTCATGAGTTGAGACACAGGTTAAATAAAACTTAGAAGTATAAATACTAATAATTAAATTCGTATATTGGTTTGTGGTATAAATGCTGATGGTTTATTTTTTTTTTCTCTTTTTCTGGAAAGGAAGGAAGGAAGTAGAAAGAGGAAAAGAAAAAAATTATTAGTCCTAAATATAAGATAGAAGACTGAGAAATTGGGATCATTTAAAATCCGGAAATGATAAAGATTAAACGTTAAATTTAAATATCAATGCGAAATTAAAGTTAAGAAAAACTTATTATTGTCTAAAAGATGGAATGTCAAATTAATTAAGATATGTATAGACTGAAGATTATTGATGAATACTAGAAAGGTATTTTTTTTTTTTGATTGATAGAATAAGAACTGTATTGATCTGAATATGACAGTAGATCTTACAGGGGAAAGAGAGGGAATTAGTTGTTGTAATATTTTGAGATTTGTACTGATGATATTCAAATGTAATAGAATTACGGTGCTCAACCGCCACGCTACTTTTCAAATATATAAATGTAATATTGGAAAATTAATAAAAAACTTGGGGAAAAAAAGATAATCGTATAACTACACTTCATGGGTAAATATACATAAACATTACACAGTACTCTTAAGAATTAGCTGTTCAGCAGAGTAATGGCATGGAGTGGTAGGGAAACTGTCTAATTTAGGGGTGTCCAACCTTTTTGGGTTAGTGGCCCAGTGGGAAAGGGAGGGGCAGGCGCCTTACATGTGTATGCACAAATGTGAATGTGGCCATATGTGCGTACGTGCGCACAAACAGGCTGCGAGCATGCACACTATGCAAATGGGGCTGCGAGCATGCATGCGAGGCTTTCAGCGACACCAGTGCCTGTGTGAGTGTTGTGCCACCGCCGCCAGGCTTGCAGCAGTGCTACCACCAACATGACAATTGCACCACTATCCCACATGAGGTTCGTGCCACAGCCCACTTGTGGGGCTGCCTCCATCCACACAAGGTTCATGGCAACACCACTGCCTGCGTGATACTAGCAGTGCTGCCAACGCCACACAACATTCGCGGCACTGGTGGCACAAGGGGGAATGAGCATGCTCACATGCGTATGCACTGCCCAACTGTTCACATGGCCTGGTGGTCAAGAGGCCACGGCCTGGTAATGGGCCACGGCCCAAAGGTTGGGGACCTCTGGTCTAATTGTCTTGGCATGCAAAATACTGCTGATCTTTTCAGCATTGGATTATTTAGATAATTTTGATTTATTTAAACTGAGAGGCTTCCACATTTCTCAAGGAATAACAAGTGAGCTTTTCTGTGTGCTTGCACAGATAATCCTCATTTAGCAACTGCCTAATTTAGTGATTGTTCGTAGTTATAACGATGATGAAAAAATAACTTTACAACAAATCTTTGCATGCATGACCTTTGCAGTTTTGGAAAGGAAAGGAAAGCTAAAGTAAGCTCATAAGGATTGTCACAGTTTCGCTTAGTAATCACTTTGTTAACAGTCAAGTTGCCAGTCCCAATAAAAGAGCAGTTACTAAATGAAGACTACCTGTCAGCCTTGACTCCTGGTGACTGCCTGACCATTCCCTGCAATTTTCTTAGTATCATTTTCAGAAGTGATTTACCATTGCCACCTTCTTCCTAGGTCTGAGAGAGGAGGACTGGCCCAATGTCACAGAGCTGGCTTTGTGCCTAAGCAGGACTATAATTCACCATCTCCTGATGTAATAAGAGAAAATATGTCCTCAGGTTCAAACCAACCTCTGAGATACTTCATTTCTGAGGTAACCCATGGGTGAACAACAACTGAAAAATTAGATCTCCTTGCTGCCACCCTATTTCACCACACACTGGTTTCTCTCTTCCTCAACATCCCTCTGGGAAACTAGGAGATGATTGAGGAAAAAACTCTCACCCTTGTCTAAATACAGAAGGGGAAAATAGACAAAAACTTTGTGTGTATAGGCAAGTGATAGAAGGCCAACGGTCAATGGTTTGATTGAAACAAAACAACAGTAAACAAATAAATAACCTTTGTGAAAGATATTAAAATAAAGTAAATTTCTTCACGCACAATTGACAGTTTGAAAAAAAAACATGGAGAAACAACCCTTAACGCAATTGTAACTAAAAATTCTAACTCCTCAATTTCTAACCTTGTCTGAGGTAAAGCCCCCTTCACTTTTCAGGATTCCAGCCAACAGTCTCACCAAAAGTCTTCCCGCCAAAACCTGACAAAACCCCCTTCCTCT